TTTTTTTTTTTTTGTATTGTGAGTCCTAAGAAATTTTTGCCTAAGTTCACAAAGATACTCTCTTATATTTTCTTCTAAAAACGCCATAGATTTAGGTTATCAGTCATGTGCTACTTAATCAAATTTCAGTCAACAAAACAGCACATATACAACGCTGGTCTCATAAGATTATAATAGAGCATATATAGAAACAATAAATGGCACTTAACGTTGCATTGCAGATCAAGTAGAAGAAATAATTGGTATTCAGTAATGGTGCTAGGTCCTTTGGTTTTTCATATGAGAAAAATATATAAATAAAAATACATATACCATATAGGTTTGTGTAAGTACACTCTGTGATGTTCTCACAATGACATTACCTAACAATGCATTTCTGAGAACATACCCCATAGCTAAGTGATAGATGACTTAGATGTAGATCTATAAACTATTATTTTGTAGCATATAATTCTTTTATGCTACAAAAATAAAAAAATCAGAACCTCTACCTTTATTTTGTAGCATATTATATGCTACATATAATACTACATATAATATGTATAATATGTATACTACATATTATATGCTACATATAATATGCTACAAAATAAAGGCAGACGTTCCGATTTTTTTGTTTTGATTTGTCGTTTTACATATGGATTTTCAATTTCAAGTGACTGTTACAACATTCATTAGAACACAAAAGACTATTTTGCCGTCCTTAAATTTCCTTGGCACCTTCATCAAAAATAAATTGGCAACATATGTGTAGGTCTGTATGTGAACTCTATTCTCATTTATTGGTCTATTCATCAGCTTTATATACAATGACTTGATTACTGTAGCTTTATAATAAGTCTTGAAGGCCAGGTGCAGTGGCTCACGCCTATAATCCCAGCACTTTGGGAGGCCGAGGCAGGTGGATCACTTGAGGTCAGGAGTTTGAGACCAGTCTGACTAACATGGCAAAACCCCATCTCTACTAAAAATACAAAAATTAGCTGGGCATGGTGGTGCACACTTGTAATCCCAGCTACTCGGGAGGCTGAGACAGGAGAATTGCTTGAACCCAGGAGGCAGAGGTTGCAGTGAGCCAAGATCATGGCACTGCACTCCAACCTGGTCAACAGAGCAAGACTCCATCTCAAAAAAATAAATAAACCTTGAAATTATACATTGTTTACCTTACTATATTCCTTTTCAATATTGTTTTGCCTTTTGTACGTCCTTTGCTTTTCTATATGAATTTTAGAATCAGCATTTTAAGTGTATACAATTTTGTTGGAATTGTGTTGGATCTGTTGACTAATTTGGAAGAATTTACTTCTGAGTAATATTTAGTCTTCTAGTCCCTAAAAAGAGTATCGTTCACCTTCAATTTATCCCCACAACGCTCTCTAGTTTTTTGAATACATTCTGTTAGATTTATCCATAGGTATTTTGTGTCCTTTTATGCTCCTGTAAATGGCATTTTTTAATGTAAATTTCCAAGTTTCTGTTGCTAAGTATAGAATTACTATTGATTTTCATATAACCTTTTATTCTGTGACCTTGCTGAACTCCTTCTATTAGTTTTTGTGGATTTTTGGTTAATTCTAGAAGATAGAGGATCATTTTGCCTGCACATAAAGACTTTTATTTCTTCCTTGTAATATGTATGCCTTTTATTTATTTGTTTTGCCTATTACGTTGAAGGAAGACTAGTACAATTTTGGATAGAAATGATAGGACTGAACCGCCTTACCTTGTAGCCAGTCTTAGGGGGAAGGCATTTAGTCTTTCACCATTAAATATGATGTTATTGCGGCCGGGCACGGTGGCTCATGCCTGTAATCCCAGCACTTTGGGAGGCTGAGGCGGGCGGATCATAAGGTCAGGAGATCGCGACCATCCTGGCTAACACGGTGAAACTCCGTCTCTACTAAAAAATACAAAAAATTAGCCGGGCATGGTGGCAGGCGCCTGTAAACCTAGCCACACGGGAGGCTGAGGCAGGAGAATGGCATGAACCCAGGAGGCGGAGCTTGCAGTGAGGCGACATCGCGCCACTGCACTCCAGCCTGGGCGACAGAGCAAGACTTGTCTCAAAAAAAATAAGAAATAAAAATAAAAAATGATATTATTACTAAGGTTTTCATAGATGACTTTTCTTATGTAGAGGAAACGTCCTTCTTTTTCTGGTTTGTTTAAAGAAGAGATGGAACATATGAACTTTTTTTCCTTTGGTGGAGAAGGGGAAGAAGAGGTGGTTATTATAAAAGTGGATATGAAGAAAATAGCTAAAGTTCTAACACTGCTGTAAGTGAAAGAACTAGGCTTTTATGAATGTTCACCCAGGCGTGGTGGCTCACATCTCTAATCCCAGCATTTTGGGAAGCCGAGGTGGGAGGGTCCCTTAAGCTTAGGAGTTCGAGATCAGGCTGGGTAACTAACGGAGGAAGACCTTGTCTCTATTCTATAAAAAACAAACAAAAAAAGAACAAAATTTTTTCAGAAACAAAATTTAAAGAAAAAAGAAAGAAAGTTCACAATAAAAGGGGTCCTGACACAGGGGAGTTT